TGCAGTATCAATTTCATGTTAGAACACAAATTGTATTTAGTAAAGTACATTCTATACCTTATCACCACAAACTGAAGCAGTAACTACTGAAATACAGCAATCCTCCTGTCAATATGAGGTTTAGATAAAGTTACTTCTGTTTTTTAGTTCAGGATAAAATAGATTGAGAGCTGCCAACTTTATGTTGGCTGATAGGATCATGACCAGTGCCAGCTATAGACCAGTAACTATAACAATAAACAATAAATTATCATAAGAATAAACCACGGAGCATAAAATGTATTGTGTAGATTTACGAAGTATATTCTGTACAAAAACACTCAACGATGGACTCAATCAGCTACTATAAAAAGACATCCTGCTAATGTACGTGTAAGTATCAAAATATTATCACTTTATTTGGAAATATTGTTATTATAAAACCCTATAATAAAATGCCAACACATTTACACATGACAATATTGATTGACACAAGGCATTCTTTACAATATTAGTTGAGGCATTTTACTCTTAATGTAACATAGATAAAAATTTTACTCTACATAATTCAAGTGGTTTACTATATTGCAAAAAATAATCTTCTGAATCAAATGTAACCACTATTAAAATATCAACTGTAATTCAAAATCTTCTTACATATAAATAAAGCAACTTGCTTACTATGCAATGTGCTGCATGCTCCCATTGAAAGTCCCATTGGCATAATTCATAATTAATAACATTGAAAGTAGCATTTGCTTAATTATGTAAACTGATGACAATTAAGTAAGCAATTCTCATCAGCTTATGCCAATATACATGTATATATAATAAGATTACCCTGGATTGCAACAATAATGGAAGGCTATAATGTATACTACAGTTTGTCAGTATTATAGATCTACATTGTGCTAGAATTAGCACACATAGAGCATGATAACTTTTAGTCATTTCCTACTCCCTGGCTCAACTGAAACAGACCTGTACAGGCTGTTAGCATGTCATCATTGTCATGCATGATCAAACTAAAACAATTAGATTTAACTTAATGACTAGAGTATAGGTTTCAATACATCATGATTCTATAGTAAGGTCTTGATTACCTTCAGATTTTTTCATCTCCTGCTACCTTTAATCACTTGAGTGCATGCAGTCTGCTAGCCCTTGTCAGTGAAGAGAAGAGGTGGGCCAGGTGGCACGAACCACGCCCACAGGAGAAAATACAGCTAAGTTAAGCCACTCAACAGCGAGCTCAACAGAGCACCGTCTCAGCTTCTTTACTCAGATTCTGCAACTTTAGAGCACCCCCTCTCACTCCAGCTTGTACTCCCACCTCTATTCACTTGGATTGCACCTATTGCAGGCTGAGAAAGCCTCCCTGCAATAATCCTGACAAAATGGAGCTGCGGAGGAAAAGGTCAGTCAGAATTCAGTGGTAAATTTGCATGTACATGTAGATCTCTAAGTACCCAGTAGTAAGAATTATTCTTTCTATATTAATCCAGAGCTAGTAGTACTAAGAAAAAGGGCAATACTACCTCAATGCTGCAACAATCTAAATCTAGAATTGATGACCATCATACAGAAAGGGATTCGGCTTCTAAAAACAAGGAGAACAAGTCAAAAGTATCAGTAGAATCCTCGGCAGAATCAATCGTTAAATCTGCTGGTCCAAAAAACAACAGCTGGGACAAATCATTAATAAATGGTAGAAACATTCAGTTGCAAGGTACAGTCAAGCCCAATGATGACAGTGTCATCCTTCAAAGTGATGGCTTTCAAGGCCGAGATCGAAATGACCGTGATGCTGATGAAGAACAGGTCTCAGATAATATGATGCTGTTTATAAATGAAAATTATACTATACCATTTGTTGCATACGAGGAAGATTGGATAAACTATGAAGAAATGAGTAGTTCTAGTACTCTGTCTTTGATAAATTATGAAGCTCCGATGATGGACGATTACCTTACTGACTCTGAAACTGCCAAGGAATATTCAAGAGGTATTATAGTCATTGGGCTATTTAAACTGGTATCCAATAGCATTCTGTGAAGAATCAATTCAAGTTATGTACTTCTGCAAGTGCAAATGGAGTATGAGGAATATTCAGTTGTTGTTGAAAACCTAAAGAGAAATTTGTCAGCACATAGACAATATAACAGAAAGTCTTATCATGTTCAGCTCCCTCCCCCTTCTCACCATCACACAAGAAACATGCATTTTATATTCCTTTATTGTTTATATTTTCTGTAATATACAGAGTACAATTAGTGGTATGTTATTAGTCTTTTGCAAAAACTAAATTGCTACAAATTATAAATTTTGTCATGACAAATTTATTGTTAAAGTATAATACTGAATCTAAAATCACAATAATAAATTGAGTTAAACTTTGGCAAGCGAAACATGTTTTTAAAAAATTGCTAGCGCTGATAAGTAAAGGAATATAGACATATGTGTGAGCTAGTACAAAATTTGAAATATTTTGCTAATTACTGTACATCATTGTTACATGTGTGTGTCAAAGTAACAACATCAATAACAGCAAAAAATTTTATCACTAAACAGTGACAGTGAGTTATTTTGAGTTCTCAGTTGCAGTTACTTAGGCAGTTGATTAATTAATTAATTAATACGATAAATCACAAATCATCAGAATAATAACATTCATAATCAGTGGCATCAACAAACCCTTAGCAACTGTACAAACAAACATCATGTTATTATATTCATAGTGTTTACAACAAACAGGTGAGGTCAATACACAGTAGTTAGGCTGTTCAGAAATATACATTATCTAAAATAATCTAAGGCAAATTGCTTTGTGTACACATGCATGCATAAAATAAGTCATTATAGAATTAACTGCATAACTGAAATAAATGTACAATCACATGTATGTTAAACGCAACTAATGCCCACAAAGTACATGTATAGGGTACTACTGGCACACAAATGACTAAATGCAAATGTACATGTATGTATTAGTAATCCTTGACAAAACAAATGACAATTATTACTCAATCCTATAACAATAGTCATAGTATCCTATATTAGATATTTTTAAAACGCGTAAAATAAATGGCACTTACCTTTCAGTTTTTAAAATAGCAAACAATGAATGACAGCACGTTAACAGTGATTCTTTATAATTAAGTGACCAAAAATGTCTATAACATCTTTTTAATAAACTCCTTGACAGCATGTGAGGTTGACAGCTCTTTTATAGCAATACTACGGGTAATACCTAAAGGATTTAATCATTAGTTTCTGTTCTTATTAGATGCAATGTACACTTGATGTGTGTCATAGTGAATAACTTCATCAAGCAAATAAAGCAATATTAATGTAACAATAAACATGGCTTTGGGTAAACAACTTTGTTATTCTTTTAAAATTGCCAGGTTGTGCAAAATTTTGTATTCATGAACCATGAATAATATACAATGAGCTATAGCAATACATAAAAATATGTAAAAAGCCATGACATTAAAATGGATGACAGAAAATCTCAATCTGTTCTAAGGAGAGAGCCAGTGGTCACTGTCACTGATCAAAGAAAAAATGACAGTGCTGCTGTGAGCTTGTTTACAAGTACAAGCAGCCCAAAACATCATAAAGTGGATTCTATTCGACATTCAGTGGCTTTTCATACTGTTACACAGACACAAGAGGCTATTGATGTAACTGATGGACTCAATATCAGTGAGGATGTTATGACTAGGAACAGTCAGTCTCAAAAAATCAAGTATGCCAAAAGTATTAAAATTTTCATATTTTTAATAAAAATTTTTTATATTTTTAATAAAAAAATTTTTATTGTATAGAGTCTCGGACAATACAATTTTTGAACAATACTTGACTAAAGCAATTGCAAGCAGTTCACATTCAGATCCACCAAATTATGTAATTGGATTTATTAAAAGCTGTCTAACTTTATGATAATACCTAATTTTTCTAAATCCGTAATTAATTTTTGTACTTTTTAAATGAATAATCATACACACATTTACTTTTATTAAAATAATTTTAAAAAAATTTAAAAGCATTATTAATGCTAAATGATGACACATTACAGTTTAAGAATTAATACTGCAATT